GGTGGTGGCTGATGTCAGGGTTTCCCCCTCCCCCTGCCTCAGGACTGGTTGTTTCCTGCTGCTGTCTGAACTTACATGACAGCATGCTGACACACACTTTGTCCCCCGAAACACACTGTCTCTCTTCCCCCCCTCCACACACACACACACACACACACACACCTCCCCCTCCCCACTTCAGTTAGAAAAGCAGCTGGCAATGGAGTAGGATGCCCATGGAACAATGGGATTGGGAAACCTGCAACATGTGACATTGTGCCTGCCCCATGAGGCATTGCAAACCCTTCCCAAAGCACCCTGCGGCCAGTTGCGACGGGTACCATAATGCACTGCTGTCTTTTCTGTTGCAAGAGCTGCTAATGTGGATGTGCTCCAGCGTCACAAGGAGCACAGTGTGGACACGCAACAGCTGTTTAATTTCAGCATTTTAATAAAAGTGGTATAACTTCTGGCACAGAAACTTGCCAGTGTAGACATGCCCTAAACCTAATGCATAACAAAAATATAATTCCTAAATGATAGTAAACCAAAGGCAGACACACTCATCCCAACTACAAAAGTATAGTTCTCTGTTTAGAGAAATGTAGTATCTGCAAGACCAGACTGAAGCATTTTGATTAAAGAGAGACCAGGATTGAAGAGAGAATGGAAATGTCAATTCAGAAGACGCCTGAACCTAAACTTTCTGTGTAGTGTTGTAGCAATCATGTTTTGTTGAAGCGCTTAGTAAATTCCATGGGGTTGTCCAATGAGACTTGTATGGGGGCACTGACTTACAGCTGACTAACTTGACTATACTTTGACTGAGTCTTGGTATGCCCCACAAGCGACAATCTTACTACAGAGCGTGAGAACCACCATTTGGCAACCATTTTGGACACCGATTTATCAAATATGAGGTCATTAAATAAAAAGGCTAATGTATTTTCTATTTTCCAGATAGAAGTCAAAGAGTCTTTTTAGATCTAGACAACAAAAAAGAGCTGTAACACAGTGGTCATTATGGGGCAGCATGTAATCACGTTAGTAAACGTTGCAAACCTGTTTCTGTTTAGCAATATTTTCAAACTGCTGTAAAATCCATATGCACAGTCAGATCAGCCTGAAAACTGGTATGCTGGTTCAGGGCCTGGGATAGAATTTGTGGTACACAGTTGGGGCTAGACATTTCTGATATACAGCCCCCAACCCAATTTACATCATTTTAAAAAAATTACTTTTCTATAATACTTCGTTGTGTAGAGATAATTTTTACCTTATGGGCAGAATCCACATAAAATAGATAAAGACCTACAAAATATTCATCACCCTAGAGTACTGATCACTGAGGACTGGGACCCAGAATACCATGAGCCTCAAGTTCTCTTCTTTCAATGACTGCTGTTAATATTTCTGTTCACTTCATAGCTTTTATTAACTGAGGCCTCATATCCCCTTGACAGCAACAGGCAACTATTATTTCCCCCCATTTTGCAAATAAGTTAACAGAGAGCTGCACAAAGTCATGTCTAGAAAATCTGGGAAAAGAAACAGAAATTAACAGTCCCAGAGAGGTAGAGTTAAGTTGTAAAGCAGCACATTTTGATGGGTTTCCCCTAGAGAAGGAACTAAAACTCAGTAATCTACCAGGAAAAACCCTTAGGTTGCGAGGCCTGAAACCTACACAGAATCATTCTGCAAGACATCATCTGTATGTCATCAATACTATTGTGTATGAAATGAGAATTATAGGGCATGGAAATACATGTCAGTCCCCACTTCTTCTAACCTCAGTAAGAATAAAGTAGCAAATGTGTTTCAGAAAATAAAACAATATTTTGTGAGCGTTTAATCAAAAAACGAAAGAAAAAAGTTGAATCAATTTTTTAAAACTATTTTCTTGCCTTTAAATTGTTATTCCCTTGACACCAACAATCTTACCGGCAGAAACAAGGTATGCTAGCAAATCCCAACTTAAAGTACACCACTGAGTTAAAAAAACAAACTCCACTAAAATCAAGAATAGATTTATACTTACTATAGGGTATTTCTGCTAATCCTGGAAACGCTCCCTCACTAAAGAACTGAGTAACAAGAGCTGTGTTCAGAAGTGACTATGATTGCAACCTGGCCATTCTGCATCAACGTTTTGGGTGAGGGGGGGGCAGACTTTTGACTCTATTTTAAGAGCTGGATTTAAATTGACCTTTACCTGGCCAGCACTAATTATAGCATGTGAAATACAAAATGTACTTCAACAGAAGCATGAAGAACTAAAATATTCTCAATTTCTACAAGCTACCGTATATACTCGTTCATAAGCTGAATTTTTTTAGTAAAAAAGGGAAGCACCAGAGATGGGGGTCGCTTATGAACGGGTATAGAGAGGGAGAGGTGGGACACAGCCCCTCCCTCCAACAGAGGGGACAAGGAGAGGCAGCACAGCCAGAAGGGAAGAGGTGGGGCCAGAGTCTCTCTGCTCTGGCCACACTGCTCTCCCCCCAGCCTCCAAAGCATCTGCGGCTGCAGCCGTGCTCCTCGGCCCCACCCCCCCAGAGTAGGCTGTGGCCACACCGCCTGGCCCAGCCCGCTGGAACATGCTGCGGCTGTGCTGTCCGGTCTAGCCCGCTGGAGCAGGCTGCAGCCACGCTGCCCAGCCTGCCGGAGCAGCTCCAGCCAGGTCAGAGACCTCCTCCCTTGGCCCTCCCCAGATAAGGTGGGAAGGGATGGGATGGAGAGAGTGTGGGGGTCCCAGGCTAGGTGTGGGGTCATGTGGTTACTCCCCTGACTCCCAGCTTCTACCCCCCCCCCAAAAAAAAATTTCCCCACCAGTTGCTGTTCCGACCCGTCAGGGTAAGCAGCTGGCACGCCGGAAACTTTGTTTACTTAGGTTTACCTCCGTTCCTCTGGACGCTCGAGGTAAACAAACCATCTCG